TCTCAAAACACAACAAAAAAAGCACTCACCCTAGATATATAATACAACTATATTGTTTAAGTACAATATACGTATATCATACAAGCATCCCTCTAGTATATTGTGGTTTCATTTTCATTGATACAAGTATATTTCATTTTAATAAACTACTTTCTTTTATTCAAAGAATTTTTAACAAAATTAATATTTACAATAAAGGAAAATATTCATGAAAATTTTTTGGCCGTATAAATTTATCTGCATGAAGTTTTTTTATTTTAGCACAATTGCCACGTATTGGATTATTGGTAAAATAATTTGTTATCATTGCGAGTGACTTATATTTGATGCACAGATCTAACAAAGAAGGTAGATGAGTATTTTTATCGAAGAGAAGTTGTTCAGCATAATCCACATGTATTTTAACCAGATCGAGAAGAATAAGATGAGGAAATATAATTAATATGGGCGAATGTTGCTTATTTTTTTGTGGTTTACAATTAATAACACATAACTCTTTGAGAAGAGGAAAACGTTGAGAGATAATTTTGAATAAATTATATTCAAAAGGACGTCCATCATGCATTGTTAAATGTCGAACTGTATGAAACATGTCACCTTGAAAATAGTTGGCAAGATGAAGAAAATATTGAAATTGATATGGAAGTGAATAGACATGTGACACCCCTACGTTGTCCTCTGATCTAACATGTACGTATGAACCAACTTTTCCATATATTTTCCCAATAAAACTATGTTGAATATCTTCATTTGATGGTAGATCAATTTCGATGTTTTCGTTAAGAATAATTGTGTTTATACTGAATGTAAATTTGTTTAATTGTGGCATATGAATAAGAATTTCATCATGTAATTGAATACCATCAATATAAGTCGAGTAACTTTTTAGTACTGCCAAGAATAATGTCAATTCTTTAAGATTTATCATTCGACGAAGTAATGGAATAATTTGATCATCATAATGAGATGTAAACATCATTGAAGTCAATGAAAAATATTTCAATTCGGGAAGTTTTTCCTAGAATAAATATATAATTAATATTTTGTTTCTCTTCATAATAATAAAAAATGAAGTTATATTTACTTTATTATTTCTATCGTAGAAACTTAATGATATGTCTTTCACATCAATAATTAATGTTAATAAATATTTGAGATGTCGAACAAGATAAAGGCAATCATCAAATGTTTCGACATTGACTTTTAATTTAGTTAAAGTTGATGATACACAACTTGCTGATAGTAACTTATAAATAGAAATTGTAGTCTTTCGATAAGGAAATAATTGACAAAAATTCAAATTAATTAATCGTTGAGACATGGATAAAATCAATGCAAATATATTTGATAGACTTTCAGATACTTTTGATTTTGGTTTATACGGAACATCAACATTAAGATCTGTAATTTGTTGAGTAAGGAGATGATGAAGAATTGAATCACCTAAACATTTAATAAATAAAGACAATTAATTTATGTTACACTAATTTATCAATTTATTAATTAATATGAGTAAAATAAACTATGAATAATATACCTGTTAAACATTCAAAAAGTATTTCTTCTTGAAAATTAACAAGTGATAATGAGTAAAGTTGAGGATAATTAAAAGCAAAAAGAATATGTTCCATTGAATATTGTTCAATAATAAGTTCATTTAATTGATGATAAATTCGTGGTAAAATTTTTTCAGATATTCTAAAAAGAACATTCTTGTCGATTGAAAAATTACGATTATAATATGATTTGATGACCATACTCGTCGTATCAAGATTCCGAATTTGAAGTGAATCAAAT